GAATACAAGCACTTCTCCACGGTTTGATAAGAATCAAGTCTCTTTAATGGTATTACTATCATCTGCCTTTTTGTTTATGTAGATGCATCATTTCTCTTTTACTATGAACTCTATTATCAACTGCAGAATGAGGAAGAAATGGAGCTTCAATTGAAGCAGGATATTCTGAAAATGGGAAAATTGAAAAGATGTTCAATGAATAGAGGAGGCTCAAATGATTCTAAGTTAGCCATGTGTCGAGATGTTGGAAAAAACTCAAACAGGATTTCTAAGAGGAAAATTTCATGGCAAGACCAGGTAGCTTTGGAGGTTTAGTGGTGCATCCAATTTCATGGGTGAGAAAGGTTAGTTTTCTGTACCTTTCCACTAGTCCACGCATAAAATACGTACTCTCTTTTTAGTTGTATATGGTTCATGATGGAGCAATTCATGTTCCGGTTACGATGACGATGATGGAATCTAGAGTCATGAAACCATAAGTTATGGAGAAAAATTAGTCTCATTCCTTTAATTTTTTAAATTGAAGATGTTCCAGATATTCATCTGCTGAAATGGGTGTAAATGTTCAAACTAAAATTTATTCAGTAGCTAATGTCCTCGCTTGGCCATTGATATTTGTTAATTGTTTATAGTTAGGTCAAGAATAGTTATAAATGTGCAAATGTTTATAGAAAGAAATTTGCTAAACCTTGAGTTTATAAATCTCAAATTTATTTCAGCCTCTTTTCGTGTAAATCTACCAAACAAAAACTTCCACAAAAGAGACTCCAATGAAGGTTTCTTGATATTAAAAACAAAAAAACTAGATGTATATCTGGGACATTGTCGGTCATCTTTCTTTCATTCATCGAGACAACGGTTTTAAGCATTGTCGCCTTATTGTTGCAGGTGGTGGAGGCAATGGTGGTGTAGGACTCGCCGACTGCAAGCAGTCTGTGCATATAGGCATTTGCTTTTATGGTGCTGGAGTTGGAAGAAGCTTGGCAATTCTTTTGTTTGGGATGGTGTCTCTTTGTATCCGAGCTTTGCAATTGTAATTAATGCAGATGTTAGATCATGCCATAAATGACTTAGAATCAACAAGTGACAGAAATGTTGGCTCTCTTTCATTTCTGACTATTGTAGATTGATTATAGAATTGTTTTTTTTCAGCAATCCACTATTGTAGATTGATTCTACAAATGGTTTGTTCAGTAGTCTATTATTGTAGATTGACTCTTAACATTGTTTACTCATTAGTTTTGAAGGTGATCTTCTGGTTTACTATTATTTCATGGTCAGTTTTCTTATTTGCCATGTGATATAATCGATTAATAATTTGTTCTGTTCAGCATCAAAATTTTTTATCTCGTTTATTTGTTTTACATTGATGTATATCATTGATATGATCAAGAGATGATTTGTTCTGTTCAACATTAAGATTTTTTGTTCCATTTATTATTTAATTAAGAAAAAAAATATTAAATTAAATAATGTTAACATATATCACTTGTGTAATAATGTATTAATCATTGGAATATTTTATGTTTTGTCTAAGTCATTCTACTCATGAAATTACTTATGAAATTGATATTCTGATTGACTTGAATTAATTATCTTGTAACGAAATAATCTTGTATCTTTGATCATCGGACATGATTGTTTTTTAGCTAATGACCAAAATTTACTCCTTTTTTTTTTGGTCGAAGATATGAGACCAATCGTCTATTACGTCATCATTTTAGGGACCAATGGCTGATATCAGACATATTAGGTAAGCAGACTTGACCATGTTAAATGTTATCTGGGTCTGCTTGCGTCAGCCAATAGGAGACCGACTTTGTTGTCTTGTCTACCTTTGTGTCGACGGATCTTTTCAGAACTCTACCGGAGACTGCGGAAAAGAGAAGATGGCCGGATGCTGCTGCAGGGTTCTAGAGATCCTGTGCGCGATCCTCCTCCCACCTCTCGGCGTCTGCTTCAGGCACGGCTGCTGCAGCGTACGTCAATCTTCCTCGGTCCCATCCCCTTTTCTCCACTCATCGTTGTCGAATCTGTTTGAATCCCTATCTGGCTTCTACCTGTTAACAGCTGGAGTTCTTCATCTGTTTGGTGCTGACCATACTCGGCTATATCCCCGGGGTGATCTACGCTCTCTACGTGATCTTGTGTGTCCAACCCGTGGATTACTACGTCCTTGTTTAGGCCCAAGACTGCCAGGATCGCTCTTCACCCACGTATTGAACTAAAGAAGTTGTCGTCTTTCTCATTGCTTGTGCTACAAATAATTGCGTTTTCTCCGGGATGATGTACTGTTTTCTCGATTATTTGGATTGACTGCGTATTGCTTGATGTTTTGCCAATGACGCACTTGCATGAGTAATCTTGAAATTTGCTCCTTGCTGATGGCTGCATATTTGGGTTTCGCAAGAGGATTTAGTGTACTTTCTATAATATCTTCCGAAGACCCATCTTCTGTTTGAAGTGTCCATAGAAACATCTTCGCTGACATTGTCAAGTTAAAAAGTTGATAGCTTTTCTTTAAATTGCCTCGCTTTATCGACTGTCACACTATATTGCATATTTCACACCCCTGGCTTGTTGCAGTCCTTCCCTTCAATAACCCATTGTAGTTGCTTTTATCTGTCATCAATTCTCAACGTGTGCTTCCTCTGTTCTGATGCTTCCCGTTCTCCCCATCTTCATGTCTGCCCTTTTCTGATCTCAGTCACCGAATATCCCACTCAACATATCTTTCTAATCCCTCTTCACCACAGTAGCTGTCCCAAGTTTTGCCTGATTGAGTTGAATTCCTCATTAACTGTTAGCCGCCATTTAGTGTTCTCTACCAACATGTCTCGAGGTAACATTTACCATTCTCATGAATAAATCATTGCGTCAACTTGCTGAGTTATGCATGTGTTTCTTGCAATCGTCTTTCTAGTGGTGCCAAACGTAGATGCCATTGAAATGCTACACACCTGTGAGTTCTTGTATTCTATGAATTGCACACCATTGAAATGCCTGTTGTAAGTCCTGATCATTTGTATTGCTTTTAGTGACAGGTAACCAAGTACAGCAAAAATTTCACAGTCAAGGTTCTCATGCCCATTAATATTGAAAATAAAAACCTCTCATGCCCAGTAAAGTAACTCCACTAAATCATTTCCTTCTTGTTAGGTGGTCTTGGAATAACATTATGCAATACTTTTCTTCGGTACATTCTATTGTTAGGATGTTTCAGTCAAATACATGCATGTCTTTTTCTTGTGGCTAGTTCTGATTTTATGAATATTTTGCTACAATTGCAGTAGCGATTTAAAGCATGTTCACATTTGTGTAAGTAGTATTTTTTGCTCTTGCCAGAAGGTAATATATATCTTCTTTCTGAAAATATCTCTTTGTCTGAATTTTATTGATAGAAAGAGTGCAGCCATCAACCACAAGATTAAATGTCATTTTCTGAACAATGATTAATGTTCTCAGTTGTAAAAGGAATATCACCCTAACTGCTGCTGCCAAATAAAAAATTTCAAGATATTATTGTTTAAACCTTTGCAGGTGATGTTTGATGATGTTGCTTTTTTCCTCTTTGATATTCCAATGATCCTTCATTATGGTTTGCTCACCAATTGTTGAAGCCTTTGATACTGATTAGTTAATTTTAAATGATGAGATTTTAGTGTTACTTGTGATGGTTAATTCAATTAATTGGCATCTCTTATTCATACACTTCTTATTGTAGAAAAATATGTCTAATTTCCTTGGATTATTAAAGCTTAAGTTTACTTTGGTTGATAAGGAGGATCTTTCTCTGACATGAACTATCATGCTCTATTCTGTATACTCTGTGCATGATAAGGTTGTTCAGTTGCATTCTAAAATTTGTGCTCTTGTATAAAGGATTTGAAGATTCAATATTATACTTTTTTTTTTTGGTACGCCATTAAATGATCTCTGCCTGCTTTGGATTTGCTAGCTAAAAGGTGTTGAATTTGGATCAGTAAGATCTTTGAAGTTGCATTTAATTTTTCAAAGCACTGAATTTAGAGATGTCACTCTCTGGCTACAGCAGAAAAAATGGAGTACATAATCTGGTGATGAATGCCAGACAATTATAAACTGAGGTTGGTTTTGCTATCTGAGGCTAAATGCTACTATTAGTTCTATGTGCAGACTTTGATGGCTGACCATGCTCCATTTCTAGTTTGGACACATAACAGGAACTTTGATTGCTAAATGGACAAGATGGAGGGAGAATAGAAGTGAATAATTCAATGAATTGTGTTTGTTTTTCTGCCAAGATTGTCACTAAAGCTTTGAAAAGATCTGATGTTCCTACAATGAAAGAATTTGCTTGTGACTAGGATAAAAAAAATATCCAATGGAAAATTTGTGTGGGAAACATAATATCATTAGGAAAAAAGCATCATTACAGACACATTAGGAAAAATATATCAAAACATCATTATGGAAAGGACATGAAATTGTCAGGCCACTCTGTAACTACCTAAAAGATTATTGAATGCAGAGATCCAAACCAGCAATTTAGGGTGGCAGAAGGTTGTCAATGTGCTGTGTAAGCAGATTTGGTGGATCCAAGCAACACACACCTTTCATGCCTTGAGTGTCAATTACTACTACTCTTAGCTTGCCTCCACTATCCTTTGGATCAGTTACTCTTCAACTAATGTGATCTGATTTTTAAGATGAAACTCCATGATGATCTAAAACAAAGCATTTTTATATTAATGCATGGGAACCTAAAAGGAAATCGTCCCCATATTTTTTTTGTGTGGAAACCTTGTATTCGACTTAGAGAATATCTACAATCCATTTTTATTCAAGAATGAAATCCTATTGAGATTGTCAAACATTTGGTTCATCTTCAGATCTGATGAAATAGGATGTAAATACATGATTTTTTTAATATATCAATCATTTTTTAATTTTCCGATCGTATGAAAAGGATAGAAGAAACATTTTGTTTCTTTTTCATAAATTTCTGAAAGTGTACTGTGGTTAGTGATAACATGCTCCCAAAGCTTGAAGGAAAAGCTTAGGTATAGTTATGGCATATGGATGTAAAAGAATACTTTGGAAGGCAATGTGGTAGTTGAAAGAGCGCGGGAAAGCGGAGTTGCGAAAGGGAAGGCTGAGTGAGCATGAGCAGAGACGTAGCTTCACTTGGCGGCAATGGAGACTCTGCAACCAACCAGCATCCGGCCACCAACACATTAGGTGTGGGAATGAGGCCCACGCCAAGGACTCGCCACCACCCCTCCCTCCTAAAGCTTGAGGCCAAGGGAAGTCCGCCACAAGAGCCTACAAAAGCCCCGACTCTTCTCTTCCCTTACCCATCCACCATCCCTCTCACTGTCCATCTCCGGATCCACTGTGAGCCCGCTGATGGAGGCGAGCGCCGGACTGGTCGCCGGGTCTCACAACCGGAACGAGCTCGTGCTCATCCGTGGCCACGAAGAGGTACGTATTGCTCGACAAGATGCAGGGCTGATTCCTCTGTCACAATTGTAGACGTTCCTCTGGTGTTGTTAATGGCGATGTATCGTTGCTGATGGTGCAGCCGAAGCCATTGAGGGCGCTGAATGGCCAGGTATGTGAGATATGCGGCGATGAGATCGGGTTGACGGTGGACGGGGATCTCTTTGTAGCGTGCAACGAGTGTGGATTCCCAGTTTGCCGGCCGTGCTACGAGTATGAACGGCGAGAAGGGACTCAACTCTGCCCACAGTGCAAGACGCGCTACAAGCGATTGAAAGGTCAGTTATTCTCGGAAAGCTCAACACTGATTAAGAATAGTTCGAGATCAGATCTAATGGAGGTCCGAGATATATTATTCAGTCTTGCTATTAATTGTATAGATGAAGACCAAATTATGCAGTCTGAAAGAACACAGAAATCGATATCATGAAGCAGAGCTAACAACGTCTTTTACATGTGATGAAGGGAGTCCGAGAGTGGAAGGAGATGAAGACGAAGAAGATGTTGATGACATAGAACACGAATTCAAAATTGAAGAAGAGCAAAACAAGAAACAGCAGCAGCAGCAGTCGAACAAGCACATCACGGAAGCGATGCTATATGGCAAAATGAGCTACGGCAGGGGACCCGACGACGAGGAGAGTAATACTCCTCAATTCCCACCCATCATCACCAGCAGCCGCTCTCGTCCGGTAAACTCAACTCCTCTTTCTTTCCGGCGTCGACTAGTTAGTGATTCTTCTAATGCAATTTGATCATATTTTAATGCAACTCAGGTGAGTGAGGAATTTCAAATCGCTAGCGGTCATCACCATGGAGATCTCCCATCGTCACTGCACAAGCGTGTTCATCCTTACCCAGTTTCCGAGCCTGGTAGGCACTTTGAGCCAGTTCTTTGTAAGATTTTGCAGGTACTAATTATCATGGAGCTAAGCAGGGAGCGCAAGGTGGGATGAAAAGAAGGATGGTGGGTGGAAGGAACGCATGGACGAGTGGAAATCCAAGCAAGGCATCCTGGGAGGTGATCCAGATGATGCAGACCCAGACATGGCACTGTATGTCCTTTACAGCCAACTCCAAGTCGTCGATGATCCAACCTGATAACCTTAGCAGTCATCCTAATCACCATTACGATGCAGAATGGATGAAGCAAGGCAGCCATTGTCGAGGAAGGTGGCCATCGCTTCGAGCAAGATCAACCCTTACCGCATGGTGATCGTGCTTCGACTCGTCGTGCTGGGCTTCTTCCTCCGCTACCGGATCCTTCATCCGGTGCATGATGCCATTGGGCTCTGGCTGACATCAATCATATGTGAGATATGGTTTGCCTTCTCATGGATCCTGGATCAGTTCCCCAAATGGTTTCCCATCGACCGGGAGACCTATCTCGATCGCCTCTCTCTCAGGTGACATGCTCTGTTCTCGACGTTCTGCATCTTTCTGATGTTAAGGCGGTCCTAACAGCTGCAACCGCGGCCAATTGCAGGTACGAGAGGGAAGGCGAGCCTTCCATGCTATCTCCGGTAGACATCTTCGTGAGCACGGTGGACCCGTTGAAGGAGCCTCCGCTTGTCACCGCCAATACCGTGCTCTCCATCTTGGCTGTGGACTACCCGGTGGACAAGGTGTCTTGCTATGTGTCCGACGATGGCGCTTCGATGCTCACGTTCGAGTCCCTCTCAGAGACTGCTGAGTTCGCCAGGAAATGGGTTCCCTTCTGCAAGAAGTTCAACATCGAGCCTCGCGCTCCTGAGATGTACTTCTCGCAGAAAGTGGATTACCTCAAGGACAAAGTCCAGCCCACATTCGTTAAGGAGCGCCGTGTGATGAAGGTAGAACAGATCTACACCTGAAGCAATTCTCATCTTTCTAATCTTTTAGATTTGGTTGATGATAAGTTTATGGTGTAATGTTAATTCTGTTTTGAGCAGAGGGAGTACGAAGAGTTCAAAGTTAGGATCAATGCACTGGTAGCGAAAGCCATGAAAGTGCCCACCGAAGGCTGGATCATGCAAGACGGCACGCCATGGCCTGGCAACAACACGCGGGATCACCCAGGCATGATCCAAGTCTTCTTGGGCCACAGCGGAGGTCATGATACCGAGGGAAATGAGCTCCCTCGCCTCGTTTACGTCTCCCGTGAGAAGCGGCCGGGATTCCAGCATCACAAGAAGGCTGGTGCCATGAATGCTCTGGTGAATGAATTAGCCCTGCTTCCTCTTTGATATACATAATGACAGCTTATGCTTTCGATGAACAGTACGACGTTAGATTTGTGCTTCTAACTCGGATTACAATGCGTGCAATTGGCAGATTCGTGTTTCTGCAGTCCTCACAAATGCACCCTTCATGCTCAACCTGGACTGTGACCACTACATCAACAACAGCAAGGCCGTTCGAGAGGCCATGTGCTTCTTGATGGACCCTCAGATTGGAAGAAGAGTCTGCTACGTTCAATTCCCTCAGAGATTTGATGGCATCGACAGGAACGATCGATACGCAAACAGGAACACCGTCTTCTTCGACGTAAGACTGGCGAACTAGGATGCATTGTTAGCTGGAGAAATCACAAGGTTCATTACCAATGTTTATAACATAAACTGGCACTGCTCTGTGTTTCTCATCAGATCAACATGAAAGGTCTGGATGGCATCCAAGGACCAGTGTACGTGGGGACTGGATGTGTCTTTAGGCGACAAGCTCTCTATGGCTACAACCCTCCCAAGGGCCCGAAGCGTCCGAAAATGGTGAGCTGTGACTGCTGCCCATGCTTCGGGCGTCGCAAGAAGCTGAAGTATTCCAAGAGCGGCGCAAACGAGCCTGCGGCAGATGCAGGTGAACGCTTGCTTGTCTCTTCTTCTTCTTCTTCTTCTACTAGTGTTCTATGAATTGTTTCAGATGCACTGAAGGATCTGCACTCGATCGCAGGGCTTGACGAGGACAAGGAGGTGTTGTTGTCACAGATGAACTTCGAGAAGAGATTCGGCCAATCCGCAGCCTTCGTCACATCAACGCTAATGGAGGAAGGCGGAGTTCCGCCCTCGTCGAGCCCGGCAGCTTTGCTCAAGGAAGCCATTCACGTCATCAGCTGTGGCTACGAAGACAAGTCCGAATGGGGTTTAGAGGTATCATGCCGATGAGACCAACTGCAACTCTGCTCGTTTGCCTTCTCTGAGCGTATGCTTTGGGCGGCTGTCTACTGCAGATCGGGTGGATCTACGGGTCGATCACGGAGGACATCTTGACAGGATTCAAGATGCACTGCCGCGGCTGGCGGTCCATCTACTGCATGCCGCAGAGGCCAGCTTTCAAGGGGACGGCCCCCATCAACCTCTCCGACCGGCTCAACCAGGTGCTACGGTGGGCGCTCGGCTCCGTGGAGATCTTCTTCAGTCGCCACAGCCCGGTGTGGTACGGTTACAAAAACGGCCACCTCAAGTGGCTCGAGCGCTTCGCCTACGTTAACACCACCATCTACCCCTTCACCTCGCTCCCGCTCTTGGCTTACTGCACCCTCCCCGCCATCTGCCTCCTCACCGACAAGTTCATCATGCCCACGGTACGTGACGCTAACTCCAAACTTCCGCGTCCCTTGCGCTTAGCTACTGATGATTCGGCATCGGGTGATGGTGCAGATTAGTACGTTCGCCAGCCTCTTCTTCATATCGCTCTTCATCTCCATCTTCGCGACCGGCATCCTTGAGCTAAGGTGGAGCGGAGTCAGCATCGAGGAATGGTGGAGGAACGAGCAGTTCTGGGTCATCGGTGGCATCTCAGCTCATCTCTTCGCTGTGATCCAAGGGCTGCTGAAAGTCCTCGCCGGGATAGACACAAACTTCACCGTCACCTCCAAGGCCACGGATGACGAGGAGTTCGGGGAACTCTACACCTTCAAGTGGACAACTCTGCTCATCCCCCCCACCACCGTCCTGATCATAAACATCATAGGTGTCGTCGCGGGGATCTCCGACGCCATCAACAACGGATACCAGTCATGGGGGCCACTGTTCGGCAAGCTCTTCTTCTCGTTTTGGGTGATCGTCCATCTCTATCCCTTCCTCAAAGGGCTGATGGGGCGGCAGAACCGGACGCCGACCATCGTCGTCATTTGGTCGGTGCTGTTGGCTTCCATCTTCTCGTTGCTGTGGGTGAGGATCGACCCGTTCATCATCAAATCCAAAGGCCCAGATACCAGGCAATGTGGAATCAACTGCTGAGCCGTCCTTATGGTTTGCTTGTGTTTGAGACAATGTGGGAAGTCTTCTAAGATAACGTGGATTTCGTACTAAAAGATTGCTTGTGATTTTTGCTACCAATCTTTCACGTCATGCATATGTGTTGGTGTTTCGTCACCTACGCAACATTGATTTGGTTGGCTTAGAAGAAAATAAAGTGCTGATTGCTTTAGCTAAAATCAAAGAGGAAATTGATAAGGAAATCCGAACAACACTTTTTAGGTCCAAAGTTCATCCCATTTCACCGGAAGATTCAAAGAATTTCTGTGCTGTCAATAATAGCTACTATCTGGTCTAATTCCTAAACAAAACAAGTCTGTATAGTGAAAATTTTATTTTGAAATATAATTTTATTATTAGGATAATGTATAAATATATTTATACGGATTACGAGAAAAAGATCTTTCTCGAAGATTAAAAAAAATATAAAGTTGTTATTATATTTACAGGCATATTATGATTTTCTATTATGTCCTCGTAAAATTGAATTTCCATCAAAGATACTAATCTTAGACCGATATAATTAAAATATCCTACGAGCGAGAGTCTCTGTAAGGGAGTGCTAGTTGATCATAAGTATAGATATAAGAAATATATATTTAATGTTTAACAACTTGATCTCTAACAAAGTGAAAGTTGATGGGAATATGTTTCATGCATGAGTGGAACATCGAGTAAGTGGCACTGACATTATTATAGAATATTATAAAATTGGATTAGAAGATGATGCCCGTGTAGCATATTAGTAACCTAATTGAGCCCTCTAATGATAGTAGCGATGGCTTAGTATTCAATTTTAGTGGTAGATATTGTGATTGTGTTTTATTTTTTGAAACTTCAACTAATCAGATTTGCCTCAAAGAGGATAATACAGGCTGATGTAAATATTTCATCCATCAATGTTGCCTGCCCGCATCGACGAAGACATGACAATAAAGTAATAGGTATTTACGAAGGAGAAGTCCATGATTAAGTCCCTTTAAGATATCACAGAACATTTTTTAATACAGACCAATGTGTAGTGGAGGATCGATACATGAATTTTGATCATTTATTGACTATAAATGAAATACTTGGATATTTAAGAGATAAATATAAGGAATCAAGTACTTATCGGTATTGTGTGGGATCTATAATAGGGCTTAAGTGATGAGTATAAATTCAACATGCTCAGATGGAGAGTTGGTAGTAATATGAAGATCAAGGATTTCATACAATTTAAAGATTTCATTTTTGGAGTGTATTATCATGTGATGTCAGCTTGATGGTATTATTGGGTTATATTGAAGGTATAAGAATTATGAAGAAGTAGTGACAATACCTAATCATATTACTGCACTTCGGTGTCACTTAGCTAAGAAGAGGATAAAGATATCATTTGTAGTGTCAAAGACATTACTTCATCAAGCATTATAGATTGATTTAGTAGAGAGATAGATGGAGAAGTTATAAGACGATGAGATGTTTGAGATATACTCATATAGATATAGTGATGTAGTGAGAGGTGCATTTTGAAGCTGTTTGACATATACTTGTATAGATATAGTGATGGTTAGTTATTGTAATAGTTTGCATTACTGAAGGAGCAAGATTTTGGAAAGAAAATGTAGACTCAACAAAAATAACATGATGTGATACGAAGACCTTTTAAGTTTAAGAATTATAGTACCAAAAAGCATTATGTTCAATTATAGTTTTTCAAATGATGACTAGTGTTGTAGGATTAGGGTAAACATATAATTAATAAGGTAGATTGAAGTTTGAAAAGTTACTGACCAAACGATTAGTTGCATGGAGGCTTGGTGTAAGAGGGTGAGATTAATAAGGTAGATTGAAGTTTGAAATATTACTAACCAAACGATTAATTGCATGGAGGCTTGGTGTAGGAGGGTGAGATTAATCTCAACTATGTGTCGGTACTTTTATTCGGTAGAGCTAACTAGTTGGTATGTATGATAATGACTTGAGATGTTATATGTTACATAATGTAAGGTAAGTGATATTTACCTCTTCCATCAGAATAAATTATTTTAATAATAAATTAAACAAGTTCTCAACTATCTTTCTAAAATAAGTAAAGATTATAATAACTTCATATTTATATTTAAGAAGATATAGTCATATATATTTATGAAATAATCTATGAAAATGATATAAAATATGAAATTATGAAAGAAAGTGATTGGGGCAAAGCCTCAAACATCAGTATAAATGATTTCAAGTGATTTAGTGCAAGACATGAAAGACATTATAAAAGATAGTCTTTGACTTTTATTACTAAGGTAAGCATCACAATGAATTATAATTCTACTTGATTTAAAACTTGAAAAGGAGTAATAAGAAATTAATTATTATAAAATGGAGGATAATCGGTGATTAAGGTGATGAGGTCACACATCGATTGAAGCATTAACTAAAACAAGAGCGATTGGCTGGATGATTTATGAAGCTGATGATCACTTACATATGTTATCTTTATTCTAACCTCAGACCAAGGATGTCCTTATTCTCATATCCTTTACAAGAAATGAATTGAAAAAAACTCAATAGAAGTGTTATTTTGTTTATAGAATTGAAAAACATAAATAAAGTTTGTTTTGATATTAGGTGCATACAAAACATCATTTAAGTGTAAAAATATTTATGTATGAATTAAGTATTGTGGAACCAATATGACTGATAGGGATTTCATTACTGTTACCAATGATGATGTCTTCATTGTCTCCATAATTGGTTTAGTTAAATATATTCTACAAATCAGAAGTGATATAATGAAAAACACTAGAGTTAATAATCCAATTGCTTATATAAGCAATCGTAGTAGTTATAATATTTGCTTGAGGCCAATTGGGTGCACTAGTAGGCTTGTTGAGATTGGTCGACTTTTGTAATATGTCTAATTTTATTACAAAATTGACAAATGACCTTTTGTTTATTATTATTGTTGGGATGTTAGAATTGCTAATAGTTACAGTTGAAGCTATTTCTTGAATTGTTTGGATTGAAATTGTCACCATATTTAGAGAGTTAATAGTGTGATGGAGAATGATAACTCTATATTATCCATGTGTCCATAAGATTTCTTGTTCGGTCTTTTATTAAAGTACTAGTTGCATTGATTGTCTTTTCTTTTAAATTTTTGATTAAATTGAGCTTTGATCGTTAGTCTCGTCTTCTTCTGTTCTCATTTCATATGTGTTTTATAATCAATTAGCGTGTCATATTGTCCTTCAAATGATATTTGTGAGTCACGTGCTTAAGTTGCTATTACTAGTTCTCTATATTTGACTCCAAAGTTATTGAAAGTATAAAAAATAATTTTATCATCGATCAGGGATAACCTATTAAAGTCAAATCATCTATAATAACATTTAGATTTTACATAAAATCAATAATAGTAATTCTCTCTTGTGTTGCTTTCATTAGAGTAGATAAAAGACAGCATGCCAATACGAGAGCAATTAACGAGGGTGATTTATAACTTGGATTATAATTCTTCTATAATGCTATACAAAGATATTTGTGGTGCTATGGAGCGAGGCTTGAACGACTTATAGAATAAAACGATCTTATCATAGTCATAACTTACGATTTGCCATTGAGATGGGTTCTTCTAATATATGGATCTTTTCTGATGGATAACTAAGAGACCATCAATGTAATCTAATAGATTATATCTAAAAAGATATTAGTAAATTGTGCTTATCGAGATATATAGCTAACACCTTTGGAGAGCTTGAAGGGAATTAAAGTTATTGCAATGATAAATATATATATATATATATCGTATAGGTTAAGAGGAATTATTATTTCTTGAGGAAACAATAATTAAAGTGTATAGTGTCGAGGAGTAAGATATGCTAAAAAGATGCTATGATCCAATAAGAAAAATTCAGAATCAATTATTGATCTAATTTTGATACACAGATGATAGAGATCCGATTTATTAGAGGAGATCAAATTTGGGTAGTGCATAGAGAAAGATATGATATGACGAAAGAGATCAAATTTGATAAATGCACAAGGAAGGATATGATCTAAGATGTGAAAAAAAGGATGATCTTTTTCTTTCTTTTTTGGAGTTCTCTCGATCGCAAGTGTTGATGGCACAGTTGAGAAAATGGTGATAGGCAATAGACTATTGTTAAATGTTGATTGTAGATTTGAGGTGCCAGTGAATTTAACATTGATAAGAAGGGGACAAGGATGCCAACGAAGATTTGAGTAGAAGGTAGGAGCAGAGCGAATGCCCACCAAGCAAAACTGTACAACGATAAAGGATCATTGATAAAACTAGTCGAGTACTAGAAGAAGCTGATTAGATCAGTAAATTGAAGCAAATCTACTATACAGGAGTTGCATATCTTTATCTTCAGTGTAACACCAAAATTCGAAAGCAAAAACTAGAAACCGATAGTTGTAAAACAATAACAGAGAGGATGAGGAAAAGGAAGCCTTGCTTGAAATAAGAAGGCTTTGATAGTATGAAAAATTTATTATGAAAGAAATGATTTTATTTATTAACATAATACATATTTATATAAATTATGAGAGAGAGAGATTTTTTTTCAATCATATGCTTAAATCATATCCTCAAATCTCTAATTGATTCTTAAATCATATATTGATCGAGGATTACAAAATATAAGAAATTCAAAGTTATAATTTCATATTTACCTATCATATTCATCTATCATAAAGGAGAAGATTTTAACCTTAAACACTAGGAACATGCTTTTATAATTTCCTCTTAAAATGACAAAAAGAATGGAAGTTCTTTCTTCTTTTTAGCTATATGGAGACCTTTCAATCAACCAAAGAGTTGATAACACATAATGTGCAAATAAAAAAAATCAGATAAATAACACACCAGCACTAAACATTAAATAAGATAATAGTTGGTCTCGCAAAATCATGACCAACTTCCTCTGTCGTCGAGTGCTTTAGGTAATGGTGGTGTAGGATTCTCCTATCGACAAGCAGTCTGTGAATGTAAGCATTTGCCTCTTAACAGGAGACGAACGAGCTCATATACTTATCTTTGGAAAGGTGTCTCTTTGTATCTGAGCTTAGCAATTGTAACTAAAATGAACAGATTACTTGTTCACCCTCAAAAAACTTATCTCATCTTTTCTCTCATCCTTCCTATATCTCCTAGAGAGTAATCTATGAACACTCACCCCACCAAAACTAAAGTTAAAGATGCATCATCAAGTATTTATAGTATAATTTGAGCTTCTCAAAGAATCTTTAGTTTTGGGATCAATTGCCCCTCAAGAATATTGGCTCTAGTAACTCAAGAATACTTGTCAATCAAATAATTTTCTTAGTACAACTCTACTCTCTCTCTCTCAATATATATATATATATATATATATATATATATATATATATATATATATATATATATATCTCATGATATTACCATGTTATAACTTTTTTTATGAATGATGGAGAATGGCAAAGATCTTATCCAGCTGCAAGTTGAAATATGCAACGTTGAAAGACAGTCGTGCTTCTACAAAAATACTGGATAAATTGTTGAGCCAGGTTGGTTCGATCGATATAGAGAAAAAGCAAAGATGCAAAGCAAATAGAAGAATCAAATACGAGCATTTAGATATTGAAGTCAAAACAACGAACATGGAGGCCAAGTTTTTTCGACTCTAGGATTAAAATGGTGATAGACATGTTAGCTCTCTTAGAGTGAGTGTCCAAAGTGAATGACAATCCCTGTCCTTGCTACAAAACCTCATTTCTATTATTTACAACAACTATGAACCTATGGATTCTAAATATCAATACCCATGTTCTTTACACCACATTTTTAACCTTGCTTTAACTCTCTGTAATATATTTTTTTTTTCTTTCCAAGTTAGCGCTATTACATGTGTAAATAACACATAAAAGGTGATAGATATACAAAAAAGAAATGGAAAAACAAGAATAATACAAGCGTAGTTGTTAACTCTGCGGATTATAAGTTGTTAGATAGGAGTTTAGCTGAGGATGCATGCCATTGGTTGACTACTTCATCTTGTAACCATCAATGTCTCAGTTGCAGGAGGTATGTTCTAAGACTGGATTCCTGTACCTGTTTTTATAAAAGAACGTTGCATAAATTTTCCTTCTTTGATTTCTGTTGCATGGAAAGGATACTATATATTGTTTTTATCCATGTATTGATGATATGCATGTCTATAACATGTCTATAACATAGCTCATAATTTGATAGGTAATGCCAATAACATGACTCAAGCATAAATAGTACGAAATGGTCTTAATCATGTGGGTCAAAATGCTTTGTTCAGATCAGTATGTCACTTGGATTATCTCTACCAATTCAATCCTTTCTCATCTTTAACACTAAATAGTAGAGAATTTAAAGATTGGATGTCTTGTATACCTATATACCATGGTTTGTAATATCGTACTGTACCGCTCGATAAGGGCGATACATACCGGTCTGATAAAGGACTGGTATGGATAATATATTGGTACACTTCAGTGTATCATGTGTCGCTACACTCAGTACAGCTCGATACGTATTGTACCAACAGTTGATCAGTACATCGGTATGGAACGATATTTAGAATCTTACTATATACAATACAAAATGTTATTTATTTCATGAGATTATGTCCATGGTGACATCATTGGTGAACAACACATTGAGTTTACAGATAAGAGTACAACTAATTAGTGATATCAAATTTTAATTTGAGTTATCTATCTTATCAACAGATTCAATCATCACTAGCCCCTTATTGAAATCTATATTTTTTTGTCTCCTCAACAAAGCAACAAGTAATGTCCTAATTTGTTTCTGAAGAACCATTCTCAAACTCTGTCAATCAAATGAATAGTCTGTCATTGAAATAGGTTCCCCTTTCATGGCTATGCCAATAGGAAGGGAGCTTGAACCTCAAAGGTGTATGGTAGCTGAAGAGGTAAACCAGGCAGAGAGGATTCTCAAGGCACCAAACAAATAAAAACAAATATGATGAGGGCACAAAAGATCTGCTTCGCACCATCATTATTCTAATTGTGGGAGAAATCAATCATGGATCAACATTCAAAAATATCAAAGAAGTTGAAGAAAACACTATTGAGGTTTCTGATATATGAGAAAGTTCAAAGTGACTAAACCAGAGATCACAGTAGGATATCTTTTAGGGCATCAAACAGAGAGCGATGAATTGATTAAGTTTGGCAGAATCATTCAAATGTTTCGAGATACTATGATGATATCTAAAGAGGCATATTCAACAATCAGTTGGCAAAATCATAATTGTAAATTTTGTGAAAAAAATTCTAAAACCAAATAGTAGAATATATCTAATAGAAACTTGGAAGCAGTAATCTTGATATTTGTCATGCCAACAGACCATCAAACAACCAAAAAAGCACATTATAGTTTAAAAGGTATGGCATCAAGAAAGATAACAGTGAAGACAATTTACCAACCAAAAACTAAAATTTTCTTCATGATTAAAAGAAAAAAAAATCTTTACCTGCATTGTTGCTACTGAAGCTAATAATTCTCTACACTCGGCTAGCATAGCCATTTCTTTTGCTGAAACAACTGAAAGCTCAGAAATCATTGACTGTGTATTCTTTACCTGTGTATCATAAATCCAAGTCAATAGTTCGTTTTCACATAAAGAAACACATCCTGCCTACTACTTAATAGTTTATAAATATATTTTATCACTACACGGTTATGTAATAGACAAGTAAGATGCTTCTTTAACTTATTATACAAGTGTGTCTATTACCTTTAGGAAACCTTAGTTTCAAATTAAATGGGCAACAAGAAGCAAAATAGCATTCACAACCTAAATCATTTAGTTACCTCTTTGTTTATACATATTAGTAATCCTCTCTTTCTTTTACTTCTCTTCTACTCCCTGACTTATATTAGTCCCAACTGATTTTGTCAATAGACGTCACAAGATTACTATGTTATTCCATGTTCTCTTTCCAAGACTTTAAATATCACATGATATTGTAACAGACAAATAGCTACTTGCTCGATACATTGCTTTGTGCAGAACATGTGTCTACAGTTGTGAGACCTAAATTGAATTTGAAGCAAAGAGATAACTGATATTATTTTAGCTCCGTAGAATTCCTACCTTAGATAGCAAATAACAAACCGATAAACCCATGGCTTGCATAGCATCAACTGCTGAACTAACAGCATTCTTCACAGAAAATACATCTGCCTGAAAGAACAAGAACTTTTTTAAAAAATATTCAATTGCTAATTGTTAACTGTTTAAGCTAATAATCTAAATACCCAGGCAAATAACTGTACAATCCAGTCATATTATGTCATCACCAAAAGGTGTACAACAGTGCTATGAAATGCTCATGTCAGAATATGGACTGGGTACACATCTGTGCCAGTATATGCTGCAAAATATGCAGTACAATATATGATACGTACACATACCACTGGTCAGTTAGCAGGAAATCGCATGTCGCACGTTTATTAATTAAAGATTACTATTTACAACCGCCTTATTACTATTTACAACCCCATTTTAATTTTTTTTAATATTTCTAAACTATCCCTTTACAGATGGACATAAATACCTCCTCCCTCCTTTCTTCTTCTTCTTCTTCTTCTTCTTCTTCCTCGGAGGATGGCGTCGAGAGGGTGGTGAGCAAGGTCAGACAGCATCGAGAGACAATGAGGATGAATTAAGGGGGAAGGAAAAAAAGGGTAAAGTCGATAATATCAGGGTTGTAAATAGTAAAAAATATTTTATTATATTTTTAAAGGGTTGTCAATAGCAAAGAGGTTGTCGGGGTTGTAAATAGTAAGCTTCTTATTAATTTAATGAAATATAACCATAGAATGATCACATGAAATCTACAAGTTTAGAGCTTACATACCCTTGCACCTCTTGAAACTGGAAGGTATAGTGTGCTTGCCTTAAAAACTTCAATTGATTCTGATAAGGAGCTATCATATTCTCTTTCCAATTGTGTCCAACAGTCAAGGTATGCCACCTAGATCAAAATGGTTTCATGTGAAAGAACTTCACTAATAGTGCAAATTGAATGAATGTAGTATTCTATGAGAACACTAAAAAAGAAGGATGAAAACACAGCTTATTTTTTTTAATAATTTCAGAGTTTAATTTTAGATAAAAATTTAAAAGAGAAATAGTAATACTAATTAGTGAAAAGTAAAAAAGGCTGCAACTTCTTTTTGTGACTACGGCCAATCTTCATATTGGTTTATTTATGTTTTGGCTTTGAAGTACAAGAAATAAGCATGTAGCACAATTCAAGCATCACGAACACCATTGTTGTGATAGATGTAAGATGTGAGTTCATGATGCAACTAAAATATGAGTTTAATCAATATAATATATCTTTTGAAAGTTCAAAATTGGATAAGATAGACACCCTATGTTTACGATGTGAATGCAACCCTTTATTTGTGCCTAAATGATGTGGACATCCTGCTAATTCCATATTAATCAGTTCACACAATCAACTACCCCCTCGGACAACTGAATAATAAAAAATCATCTCAGTGATCTCTTTCATTTCCATATCTGCACAAACAAAAGATAAAACATGATCTAACCTACACACTATGGATTTCATTACTCAATTCATCATAAACAAGAGATATGTAAGAGCTAATATGATTTATCATGTAAAAATTACAGTGCACGGCATTTAAAAAAATTGACCCTATATCCAATATGGCCTTTTCTGTTAAATATCACCACTTTTCCATATTCTTCTTTTTATTTTTTTTCAAAGTAAATTTATTAGATTAAATAGAAACAATTTCCTTGATGATTAGTTTACTCAAGCCCCAAGAAGTATACTTCTGAGATTGCTATTTATCTATTACTATTCTATCTAAAAAATTTTGAAGCCAGACTCTATTTTATCTATTTAAACCTAGTGTACAAAACACAACCAATGTCAAACCATCATCATATCATCTGTTCCATGAAGTCAATTGAAAGTTGACAAGGTAACACTGAAAGATTCAAAGAATTTCTATGGGCTATCAATATTAGTCACTATCTAGTATTGGTCGGGTTCCTAGACAAAATAAGTCTACATAGGAGAAGGTTTTAACCTAAAAGCTAGGAACATGCTTTTATAATTCCCTCTCAAAATGACAAAGAGATCTGAAAGGAGGGAAATTTATTTTTCAGCTACAGGGAGATGTTCCAATCAGCCAAAGAGTTGATAATACATAATGTGCAAATAATCAAATATTAGATAAATAGCACACAAGAACTAAACATTAAATAAAACAATACTTGGTTTCTCAAAATCATGGCCAACTTCATCTGTCGTCTCAAATGCTCCACTTCATTCCTTTTCCTAATAATGAAATCACGCAACTTTGAAATAGTATTCAATGCAGAATAGAGAATCTTCTGTTTGGCAAAAAATAAGACAGATATGTTATTCATGCAGTTGTTGCAAGCATCCACTAATGATAAAATCCAATGACAGTAACTATATTTATCACATAGGTAGTTGCACATAGAACTATGTTGCAATTATGCATAAGATGTAATGCAAGAAAAACTGGAAGTCCAAAGTCAAGATATGTCTTGTTCATCTATTTGAGAATTGTATATAATCTATATTAATTACTAGAACGTCAAAAATGTCTATTAGTTTATTACAAGTAGAAAGGAAAGCATGTGGCATCTCATATCATGTAAACTATAAGAACATAACTATGGAATATAAAGCTAAACCAGCTTTTACATATCTTGATATTGTATAATATTCGTTACTAATAACATAAAGGATCCCTCTCTACAGGATAGAAGTACCAAAGTATTTTCCATCTGAAAAATCCAGATAATTAGTTTATTAATAAAAGTATTCTGTTATTGTTCCTACCTCTGCCCTATTTTTCTGAATGGAAACAGTGTCATCGGCTTGAGCATTGACAAATTGCCATTGCAAGACTGCATTATGAAGCAACCTCAGCTGATGGGCAGCTTCAATATGACTCGCATTCTTCTTTCCCTTTTGAACTTCTACAGCATAATTAAGGACAGAGGATGCAGCACATGCTTGAGAAGCTCCATTGCCAGATGATGAAATAGAAGTCGGCAGTCTTGCTCGTGATGGACTCTGCATGCCCCTGGAAGTATTTAATGACAATGACAAAATCCTACTTGGTGATGAAGAGCGTTGTGAAGCTTTGATTGGTGTTGAATGAGTGGTACTCATCCATGCTACTAAGGATGATCTCTCTGGAAGTTGTGAAGAAGTATTTACATCTAATTTTGCATCTTGCTTCATCCTTCCACTTCCATCAGGATATGGTCGTCTTGCTGCCTCAGTTAATGGTTGCTGGAAATCTCTAGCTGCACTATCATATGTTGTGGTTCTCTTTGGTGAAACCCCTCTTGATGGAACTGATAAAGAAGCAGATCTGCAGATCTTGTCTGTTGGTATCACTTTTCTTGCCAAGGCATTTGCAGACACCCTCCTGCCCAGCATACCAGGCCACCGGTGTTGATCAATGACCCTAGCATTCAAGTTATCCATTGGACAAGAGTTCTCAGTAGTGTTCCTCCCTCTCAAAGGGGTCCTTTTCCTCTCTGGTGTCCCGTTGGCTGAAGGCTTTACCGTATGATCTGAGGAAGAACCTGCAACTACTTTTTCCGTCTTACTATCAGGCACTGATACAGACTCGGATTGAAATGAAGATGACAGGCTACGCATCGAAGGCCACAATCCATCAGGGGTTTTGCTGCTGAGCAACCGCCTGGTTTTGTCATGCATCTCTGTCACTGTATCACGAATGGGTGTTGCCAAAGTTGAAGATGGATGAGAGGGTGTGGAAGGCCTAGAAGATGGGGTTGTGGGTGTTGAAAACCTCGGTGATGAGGCAATTGGTCTTCTCCTCTCTGCTGATTGGGCTCGCTTCGTTTGCGATGTCGCCCGCACAGGGGATGTGCGACTGGCAGTTGGAGATGAGCATCGTCTCGGAGTACTGGGGTTGGAAATTGTAGTTGATGACATCCCTGCACCGTACCTAGAAGAAACTTCTCTCGCCCGGGGTTTGCTGGTGATGATAGGCATGGCATTGTTCTCAGAAAGAACCAGCGGCAGCCTCAAAGTATCTTCTCTTTGAGCTGACTTCAGAAGCATTGTAGCTACTTGACGTTCATGCGCTCTTCTCTAAAGAAAAGTGTAACCCACTCATACCGATAGCAGCGTGGCCTCATATCTGACATATTTAGAAACTATAAGAATCAGGATAATCAAAGGCATCAAACAAGAACGAAGCTATCCAAAGAACAGAAACCTATAACAAGAAGTTGCACGAAAAAAACGACATTTTTTGTTACTGCACACCCGTAGGGCTACAGAGAAGAGATCTGAAGTGGGAAGAATCGGGCAATGCAGTACTTGGTAGTTAATCTGAGCTACAAATTCGTCGCACAAAGAGAAATTTGTGGCAGATTAAGCCACCGGAAAACTACCAGCAGGAAGACATGGGGATAACCGAAGACGTGTGAGGGACGAAGGATGTGATCATGTGCATCTCCTTGTCATTCTTTAATGGAATAAGTAGAAGTTGATGTTTCTATTCTGTCTTCTGTCCTCCTCACGAGACTGCCATGGTCGGGTGGGGTGCCTCTTCACACCCCCTGTTTGATCTCTTGGAATTGAATGAATGGAATGGGAGCAAAGTCGCTTTCTCTACAAGAAGGGGTTAAACTTCTTGCTCTTTTTAAAGGAACGATGAGACTAACATCAATGCACTTGGTATAAATAAATACCAAAAAAAGCTCAAGAAACAACTGTTTCACCTGCCATCGCGGAGAAGAAGGGTACTTTTATCTATATCTGAGAAATAGATGTGGATGTTTTGTGATGTGGGGGGACGATCACTGACATTCACGTGCAGGGGATTTGGTAATCGAGAAGCAAACCAAAGAAGCGAACTTTTTATCATCCACTATGAACTCATAGTAAACAAACAATTTCAAGAGATTAAAGAAGAAAAATTAAAAGATACGTACTAAGAAATCTGCATTTGCTGTCAAAAATCAAATAACCCTAAAATCGCAGAGAAAACTTAAATAGAACTTTCGCCAAGACTTGAAATCGGAAAACCTACCTAAAACGCAAAGATGAACATAAATACCTAATCTTATTCGTGCACAGTATATAATTTCGATGGTGACAGATTATGAGAGACAAAAGATTCTGGAAAAGCACATGACCTGGGAAAACGTGGACGCGATTCGCTCCTCGCTGGCGACCGATCGAAGGCGAGAATCTTGCAGGCGAAAACAAGGACGAAAGAAAAAGAACCGCAGGGGGCTTACTAATCAGAACCCTAATCTCGCCGTCGCAATGACGCCTTCGATTCGCCGTTACTTCGGCATCATAAAAATGATCTCTTGACAATAAGAAGAAAGCGCGCGATTTCACTCCAACTCAAAATTTTCGATCACCCATGGTCTTACCCGCCTTAGCTACCTGCCTCCTCTCGCGGACCCCACCGGCCTTCTCACCTTGCGTATGCAATCGGAACAAATACTGATTTTTCGGGTGAATCACTACAGGTATGCTAAGTATTTTGCTCTTTAATGTTTAGGTTCGTGTGCACTGACAATAACGGTCTCTTGACTATTAATAATCTGATTAAGAATTATATATATATATATATATATATATATATATATATATATATATATATATATATTTCCATTACTGGAAGGTGAAAAATTATATTATACTCAACCTGAAATTTCATCATATCTAATAATTACGAATTTTTGAATAATGGAAATACTTCATTTGTTGCATGCATTTTATTCAAAAATATTATAAGTGCAAGTGCTGATTTTATAAAATTAACTCTCTTGTTTTAATATATCATACCCTAAAAAATGACCAAACACTAAGAGCAATGTCATTCTTAATATCTCCTAGAATTTGTTAAGGAGTTGTTCTTTTTTCCATAACTTTTTTTAAAGCCAACCAATGCTGATTAAAACAAGCATGATTATCTAAAAATGCCTCTTTTTTTAGTTTTTCCCACGAGGTATCCCTAGTTTTTAATTTTATATTATTTTATTATATCTTAAATGACCTTTGATACTATTCATCACTCGTCACCTATATCACTCTATCATGAGGTTCATTATTTTATGTGATAATAACAAGGTGAGAGATAAAGAACTAGACTTGAAAATCAAAGAGGACGAAGAGAAGAGGGATGGGATGATTGTTGGCGGTGCGAAGGGGATGTGGCATATGATAGGGGCCTCCTAGGGGGATGATGATATTATAGGTGTCACTATAAGGATATGAGAGTCATGACTAGAAAAGATATGATGAGGATAATGACAATATGAATACTTAAGATGGAAGCTTCACGAACAGTAATATTGAGGCCCTACATAGAGGGGTCTCGTGGTGGCTATGCGGAGGTGGCAAGATATCACGATGAAGGCAGGAGACGATTACAAGGAACATTTAGGGTGTTAGAGGAAAATAAGACATTAAATAAAAAAAAATAAAAATTGAGGGTTTCTTTTCGGAAAAGTCTAAAAACATAATTTTTTCTAAAAAATCAACTTTAAAAAATATACAAGTAATAGGAGGATAAATAAACCCATTATATTCAAAAAGTGAAAGAAAAATAAATCATTTCATGATTTCAAGCATATAATAAACAAGGTTTTGGTGGATGATGAGTCATCCTTCCACGTTTAGAAAATCAATTTCACCAAAAAAGAGAAAGCATAAATTGGAGTAGCTACAACCACCACAATGGATTTTACTTTGGTCAGAAAATAAGGGTTGTGGGTTGCCATGGACCAACATTTATAATTGATGAGCATAATTTTTTAATATAAAGAATTCGATCATAATTGAATCGTACAATAATTGTAGAGGATTCTACTCTCTTACAATCCGCACATTGGATGAATCTAATTGCATGCGGAGGAGATAAAATAGGTGGAAAGATAGATATTGCTTGCCGCGACACAATGTTCATTGGATGAGACACAACCACTATCCGTACACACACATAGTGCAATAATATTTTATGTGAACTATGCTCGTTTGTTACAGTGCAATGTACAATTTTCCTCCAAATAAATTTAACGAGTCTTGTAATGCTACTTATGATATAAGCCAATTGTTACTAATATTTTCATATTGGAGTGAGCTAGAGGTGGAACATTCCAACATGCCATGTGCCTCTCTAACCATTGAAAAATAGGTTACATTAGAACATTGAACAATCTTGTAAGTTGATATTAGCATAAAGACCATCCTTTAAATCAAATAATAATGGATCTAAATTTATGATGTGTATCTCTCGATATTATTCATAAAGTTTTTATTTCATCTACGAGTGCATCATCATCAAATCCAAAAACTATAACGATACCGATCTACAAGAAAAACTAGACTCATCTTCTATCTTTCTATCTTTCACAGGATCACTATAAACGGTAGATTATGAACAAAAGAGAGATAGAGAGAATATCTATAATCTTACGATAATATCATATATTCGTTTATTATATTTTTAGTTCATATAAGGTTTTATCTATTTATAGACGGTAACAGAGGATCAAGGATAAGTAATTAGTAAAGTCTCTTATATCAATATCATCTCAAGGAATTATATTATACTTAGAATTTATTTTTTATTGATCGATAATCGTAATCAAAATTCATAACTATATAGGATTATATAATCTAACCGTTTGAATAATCAAATTAGTGAGTTACGTAACTCTGCTTAGTGTAATGAAAAGTTATACCCTTGCATTCATAAAAATAAGTAAATTATAATTTTTGAGTTAAGTTGAGATGCATGGGAAGTACTACTCCACGAATAGATACTCCTCTCTTCAAAATGGTGAGTTGGGAAGTTAGGTCACAAGGATTATTGGCACCCATACTCCCCTTTGAACGCCTTGGAGACCATAACCACAAATAACACAAGTTGGATAGAAATCATTCTAAGAATAATTCATTGGGGGGCGAATGGGCCAAGTTGTGGAGAAGACATGATAAGAATGTTCACTGAGAGTACAAAAAGCTGCCTTGGCTATCATTTATTACTCTATTCCCCGAGCTTGTGGACTCTGCCATTAGAGCAGATTCGGGACAACGACGAGGGCTGTCGTTCACTTGTTAGGAGTGGCAGAAGCTTTTATGTGGTTGTGGCCGGCATGTTGTTTCCACTTGCAAGAGGAGACAGCCGCAGGGTGCCATTATCCTTCTTTCAAGGTGTTGGCTTGGCTCTTCCCAAAGCTATTTAAAGTGTTCAAATTTTTATCTATTTTACATTAATATTATTTGCTATCATAGTCTACTTTCTTCTTTGGATATTTAAAGTATAATATTTTTGTAGTTTGTCTTAGTCCAATTGTTGGATACTATTTGTACTTAATTTCTTCAGGCTTGGAGATTGTGTTCATGTCTGTAAAGGTTTAAATCTGGAAGATAACTGTGGGAGCTAATATGGTCATTAGAGATCAAATCTATGATGATTGATGAAGACACAAACTAAACTAAAGAGCAGAAAAGCCTCTGCATAAATTACTCGTGCAAGGAATCACATGATTCAGCAGTACCCAATTGGCCTGTCAGAATCACTGCCATCCTTGTGCTGCGTGTTCACGTGAATCACAAGAGGTTTCAGAGACCGAAATCGCGTGGTGCTCATCAGCAGCGTAGTGCAGTTGCCAGAACGCTGAGGGTGCGATTGTAATGTGTGGTGTCAGAAAAGGTGTCAGTTCCAATTGTGTTATTCGATTTCGAGTACCAACTTGGAGCTTGAGTTAATGGCTGAAGCTGATTTGAGGCCCATGCAAGTAAAAGGAAACAAAGAAACCTATGGAGAACATTTAGGAATTCTTTCGTCAGTGGCCATCAACAATGTTCTCACAATGCGTCACTAGAGGTATTGTATTGTAAGAACAATGCATCATTGGGTTTCCATCCAAAAGACCAGCATTAATAATTCAAGCAACTTTACTTTGAATCTGCTAAAGATAAAAGAAGTATAAATCACAAGAAATCAGCACACTTTGGGCCTTCCATTCAAAATAGGAAAAAAAACACTTCATTCTTGGTTTAAGAAAGAGAAATATTTTTGGCTGATTATTATCAAGCAACAACATTCAAGGTACACGAAACACAAGCACAACAAAAACAGCAGAAGGGAACAATATGTGCCATGCCTATCGTGTAGTTCCTTGATCATGGAAAGTTCACAGACAGTTGGAATTAGTAAATCCAATGACGTACTGATTTTTTTTTCCTGGCAATCCTCATTCTGGATAGCTGAACTCAGCAGGATAATTTGCACAAACGGGCCTAGCTAAATGGTGAGCTTATGAATCATCAAGCCCGGTAAAAGTTGGCATTGAACTCCCAGATAGAAAAGACTTGAAGAGAACTAGAGCCAATTTTGGTTGATGCAGGGGAACCTCATGACCGGCTCCCCTCACGGTCACAAATGTGAGCCCTTTGTATACTTGAGTCCATCCGCCAACCTGCTTTGCATAGAAGAATTATTACTAAGCCAGTAATGCACAATAAGGTATAGCTGCAAAAAAGATATAGCTGCAAAAAATCAACATCAAATAAAGAAAATCATATAAGTGAAAAGTCAAATATAATCTTTGCTCAACAAGGTACTTTTCATTTGGAAACTGACAGTGATAAAACTACATAATAAATTAAAAGAAATCAGACATTCTTTCGTCTAAAAGCAGACTATTAATTGGAATTTGACTTGTGTCTGAATATAACAACTCAGCTCAGTGAGCATGCACCTGGACGGTTGATGTTTATCGGTGAAATCCTCTACTTGGATGTTACAGATAGATACTAGGGCTTGATATTTCGATACCATACCAACTCAATAAGTTGTTGAAACCCATAATGGACCGGTATTTAAAAATTTTGGTGCAATATTTCTTCTGGAAATAAATACAGACAGAAGAGGCAAATAGGAAAGCCCACAAGACAGCAACATACCAGCAATTTTGGATGCAATGACATCAAAGAAAGTTAACCAGCAAGACTGATATATATATATATATATATATATATATATATATATATATATATATATATATATATATATATATATATATATATTTGAACATTAGATAATAAGAGCATATTAGGACCATTTTGGAGAGACAACTGATTTTTACGCAAAACGAAAAATTGTGTTGATAACAAGTAATCCTACGTACGGACTTTGTAATATGAAAGGGAACATTATATACCTGGCCATCATCATACCAAGGATGCCATGGAGTCACCGTAGGAAGCTTAAGAGAATCAATATTATACCGTGTTGAAGTAACTGGAATCACAGCATCTGTGTCACCACTGAAGAAACAAATACATCATAAACATTAGTATGGCAGCATGATATTAGTGAACATGAGTCACCTGAACACAAGAGTCACCTGAACATCCAGATGCGAAGCCCATAGCCTATAAGCTCATGATAAATATGTAATACCGACCTTGCAGAGTCCTTCCAGTTTTCATTCACAACATCACTGCATGACAGAAATGGAAGAAGCAGAACTGAGTTTCAATATTGAAGAAAGGTTAAATTGTTACAAGAATTTTGCTAATATTATGAATTCCCACAATTCTTGCCATCATCTTCCTTCTTGAGCACCTGATTCTTCAACATGCTTGTATAACTAAGTGGTAAATACTATCACTTAGTATGGTATATAATCCACTGAATGCAACAGCAGTTGCAGAAGAACGAAGGAAAGGGGAACAATCAACTGAAGGCTCGTAGACCCTTATTATCACAAATTGCCTATTATGCAAATGATTCTAGAAACAGAGTGCCTTGCTGCAAATTAAATTGACCAAGAAATCAACAAGAGAAGTGAGATCATCAGATATGGATTAATTATGCAGTCCAGGTTTAGGGTTTGCAGCTACACAGAGATATTTGATTATAAATTGTATTATAGTCTAGCTTGTATCTTCTTAGTAATAAACCTGTACCAGTAGTCAATTATTCAACTTTTTGTTGGTTGTAGGAATTGACTACACATCAAATCTGGCCAATTTTCATTTTTTTTTTGGTTGTAGGACTTGCTTAAATGTCAAACCTGGAAGGCTAATTCGTTATTGCTCAGATATGAAGCCGAATCAGTTTTGTAAGCCAACTACCATCATAAGTCATAAATTTGGTTACCCCCACCATCTGCTGTGAGTGACTTTCAGATTGATTCTTTTTAATAGAAAGATGTTAGGTGCTTGGTGGAGATTAGCTGATTATCTTGGGAAGATAACACCTATATTATTAAGTTATTTCACAGTCCTAAATTATTAAGGAAGGGTCCTGATTTTTTTTTTATTTAAAGAAGTCGAAACTGATTAAAAGAGTGATTAGATGATTGATTATACATGTAAAAAAGGGTTGTCAATCTTTTGTATTGATTCACTTTTTCTCATATCTATTCTCTTTTGTTCTTTCATTCCATGTCTTTATCAATTTTCTACCATAATATGCTTTAATTCTATCACCTATATTGATCTCCCTGCCAGGATTACAAATCAAGAAGAGACTGTTTCTTCAGATTTAGTTCACATTTTGTCATATATAGAACTAAAATAATCTACAAGAACAAACAATTACTTCTGAAAATTCGATTAAAAGTCGCAAATTAATATTTACCTGCAAGTTTCCCACTTAGATGGTGCAAAGGCTGGATTGATGTGGAGAGCCTTTTGAACCTCAGGCAAATTAAAATAAACAGTAGAATGCTGCTCAGTGCACGGATCATACTTTTCACCTATGCTTCCAACTGACTGTCAAAATAGGGCAACTGGTAAGGGGAATAAAAACATATTCTTGTACAACATCGACAATGAAAAAGCAATCCAGAGTTCTATTGTAATTCATCTAATGCTTTATTTTCTCTTTTCATGCTCTAGAAGATCTATAAAATAATAAATTCATAGAGAAAAATTGTAATAGACAAACAGAACATCAACTTAGAATCTCACGTCTTCTGGGTACAGAATTAAAACACTTACATGCCTTCTTTTCAGTAATTTATTCTTTGAGAAGGTGACACTTCCAGGACAGGAAGGAGTGAAGATACTGTATGGATCAATATTCCCAAGTTCCTTGTCAGCAATGTCAAGAATCCTTTCACATTCAGATGATGTATGTACAAATGACTGGAAGTCACAGAAGACATTTAGCAGCTTGTATGTCTGATCTGAAATCAAGCCAGCTGTCCACATGAAATGGAAAACTCCATAATGGTCATGAAAATCATCAGTCAGAGCATTTCCCACCTGCACAGAATCCCCCAATTTAGGGTTATAATTCACCCAATTTATGAACAAAGGTCTCATAGTCATCATATCTTCACAAGAAAACCTAGGCCACAAGCCACATCTTACGATCATACCATATAACCCTTTAGGTTGATTGATTTTTCTCCTGTCAATTTTTGTGACCGTACAATAGCTTGTGCCAACTGTGGTACATAATGCCCTAGAAAAAGAACACAATACAAGTTCAATAGATATGTGCAAGAAATCTAGCACTTTGGACAAACAATTAACCAATAAAGTAGAAGGAGAAGCCTTTTTAGTCTCCGAACCTGCATAACTTTCTCCGGTTATATAAAATTCCCGTCCCTTATATTGGGGAAAACGCTTGAACCACTTCTTCAAGAATGTCAAGGAATCCTTTGCTGCAAAAAGAAACAAACTTGAAAATTCAAATTCATTTAAAGATTTACCTAATTTATCAGAATATAAAGCCAAAAAAAAAAATGATGAAAAGGAAACTGTTACCAGTCCTTTTATCTCCATTGGTCAACACATCTTGAGAATTGTTTGAATAGGAAAAGCCAACACCAACGGGGGAATCCAGAAACAATATGTTCGCCACTGCAGAATGCATAAAGATATCAGATATCTAACTCACTGATGCATTTAACACAATTTTACTAAACTAGTGAAGTGTGGTTAAAGATATATTTTATTTTTGACATAGAATGAAAAGGACTGTTAAATATGGAATGAATCGGTTTAATTATATTGCAGTTCAATTGACAAGAAAGCACTCATTTTTCTGACTGATACGATATCAAACTGGATATCCATATGATGGGACATAATCTTGATGACTTGTTTAGATTGACTAAAATCGATGAGAATGCATAACCAGATAAGTCCACTTAATAGAATAGGACAGCCACGAACCATAATAAAAGTCATCTTCCACACGACATAACATGAACAAGAGTCCAAAACCGAATAATCTGTTTTCGCATTACCTTGGTTCCAAGTATAAGGGTTCAGATAGAGACTCTTCCCATCTGCATTGATGTGAAAAGGCCCCAGTTCCTCGGCCAACCCATATGCAATAGAAGAACAACCGGGTCCTGCCAGAAGTTTTGTGTGAATCCAAAGTCGAGAAGATAAACTAAGCCATTGCATTTCCATGACCAGCAAATCATGCTCAACAAACCAAGAATTAGGTACCAAATGCAACTTTTCTACAATGCAAGAGAAGAAACAACGACCATGATCCAAACAAAGCCAGGTTTCTCATTTTCTTAAACAGGATTAGAAAACATAGCCAATTGTTCTCTTAAAGCTCCATTTCTGCTACCAATAAAGGCAATCAAATCCAAGAAATCTTTCAATTTCTCTGTCATTTTATCAAGAATGCTATTACTGGTATCTCAATCTCATTAGCTACCCAAAACCCCCTATCTTGGAAGGTGCTGTCTCAAAGATACTGGTAACCAAACAAAAGTTCACCCAAAAGAGGAATCCAATTTTAAATTATTGCCATCGGAAACATTAGAAAAATCCGATCTTTGTATCAAACTCCATGTTAATGCTAATTAGTCAAGAATCCTATATTACTGGTTCACAAGATAACTCTACTGGAAATAATATCTCACCAGGAAATACTTTTGTCTATGCCATGAAACAGAATGAATTAAGCATCGAATAAAAAAGGAACAAAAAAAAATCGTCAATATTTCGACGAAAGAATGGATTTTCGATCCAAACCCACAAAGACAAGTGTCAAACATGAAAGGTTTCAACGATCGGACCTCCATTGAGCCAAAGAACAAGGGGCTTGGAGGCGGGGTCCTCGACGGCCTCAAAGAACCAGTAAAAGAGAGCCCTTCCGGGATCATCGTCGACGGTCACATAGCCGGAGTAATGGGCGAAGCTAACGTTGAAGGATTGCCCGGGCAGGCGAAGCACCCGGTCCTTCTCCTGCCGCTCGAACGCAGAAGCTCCGCCGACCTCCAAAGTCGAGGCTAACAAGAGGAGAGCGAGGAGAAAGGGTAGGGAACACTTTGCTTTCTCCATCCTTCCCATCGCCCCCCTTCTTTCAGCTTCCGCCCGATGCCCAGCGTGACTTCGTCCCTTAAAAAAGACGAATCTTTTTTTTATGATCGAAACCCTGCAATTTCTACATTTGTATATATTATTAACCCAAGAAAGCTTCCTTCCTATATATTTTTAAAAGACTATATATTCTTCTAAATTTGATTTTATATTTATCACTTTAAATTAAAGGTTAAGAAAAAGATAAATGGATGAAAATAATAAAATACATATTAGATTTTCAAAAAATTTATCACTCAAACTTATTAGTAATCATAATTAATAATAATTAAGAGTATATAGGTGTTAGGATATCAAAATAATTAATTAATAATAATATATAATTAAAATATATATAATAATATATACAGGTAGACCTCACATCATTACTTGCTGCACAAGCAAGTTTGTCCAAAATAATGATGAGATATATTTCTTTTATTATTTGCCGATAGGAGACATGCAATTCTATTCCACGATCACGTGCCTAAAAAGAGTCCACTTTATTAGTATTTAAGTCACCTCAAGAAAATAGTCTTGGAAATATAATCCAAAATGTTTATCTCTTATTTGGCAATATCTTACGGCACTCGATGATGATGATGAAATCAGGTCTTTTATCGAAGAACAATAGAGTAGGCTTCGGTTTCGTTTACATTTTGAAGTCAATACAGCAGGAAAAAATGACTTTTCCTGTCAAATACGAAAATACTTTATATTTTTAATTTGACGATAAATCATCTATCTTTCTTTCTGACTAATTATAGATTATTTTTTTAATTAGTTATCTTAGTATTTTGATCATTATACCTTCAAAAAATTATATTGAAATCAATATTTATATTTATGAAAGTGAAAATATTTAATATCTTTTCTTCTCGTACCATTAATTTTGTTGACGAAAATATTGTAAAGTTTACCGATAAACACATGTTGACTATATTTTATTTTGATTTATCACTAAGTACGTATGATATTTTCGCCAGTAAAACTAATAATGTGAGAAGAAACGTGATTAAATATTTTATTTTGATAAGTATGGAGATTCTAATTTTTTTAAGTGTAAGGAGTATGATGTCAATGATAACTAATTACGAGAGTAATATATAATTAGCCACTTTCTTCCTCAATTTCTTTTCTTTTTTCTATAAATCATTCCTGTTTTTTCATAATCTTTTAAATAATATTAAAAAATATTATAACATAACACAAATATAATGTTATAATATTTTCAGTGATATTAAGAAAACAATGTAATGCCATACAAAATTAATATTATAGTGTTTTCTTGATATTACTAAAAATAATTATAACATAATATAAAAATATTATAATTGGACCGATTAATCTTAGGTGCAGTGACTGAGAAGTTTCAGATATTAGGAAAAACAACGATCTTAAGGATTTCTGAATAGCGATTTTTTTGAGAATTCGTAAACAAAAAAATCGTATGTTGCATTATTTTTATGAAGCCTAATTCGTCCAAAAATCGTAAACACAAAAGGAGGTTATATTAATAGGTAGATCGAGACATTAGTAATCCCTTTTTGTACACAAATAGATGTAGAGTTAGATTTGGGCACTTCTAATATGCATGTCAATCATTTGTTATGATCAAATTTGAAAAGATTTAATTCACTAGCTTTATAAACAGAAGATTTTTTCATCGAGGATGTTTTGAAGATGCATCCAAACACACTTAAAGAAAAATGGGTGAACTAAAAGAACCACGACATTGCAAAATCTAGCTTCATTTTTGTTAGATTTATTGGAGATTTGGACTAGCCATTACGAAATCTAGCTTCATTTTTGTTAAACCACTAGCATAGCATCCTAAAGAGTTTAGGAGGAGAGAAAGAACCACCACTTACAGAGACCACCACTTATAGAGAAATAGGTGAACGAAGAGAACCACCACGTTGCAAAATCTTTTTGTTAGATTTATTGGAGATTTGGACTAGCCATTACGAAATCTAGCTTCATTTTTGTTAAACCACTAGCATAGCATCCTAAAGAGTTTAGGAGGAGAGAAAGAACCACCACTTACAGAGAAATAGGTGAACTAAGAGAACCACCACATTGCAAAATCTAGCTTCATTTTTGTTAGATTTATTGGAGATTTGGAGCAGACATTACGAAATCTAGCTTCATTTTTGTTAAACCACTAGCTTAGCATCCTAAAGAGTTTAGGAGGAGAGAAAGAACCCATTTGACGGTAATCTTATCAGTTTCCAATCGTCAGCAAATTTAGCTTCATTTTTGAACTAAAAGAACTAAAAGAACCACCACTTACACAGAGAAATAGGTGAACTAAGACAACCACCACATTGCAAAATCTATCTTCATTTTTGTTAGATTTATTGGAGATTTGGACTAGCCATTACGAAATCTAGCCTCATTTTTGTTAAGCCACAAGCATAGCATCCTAAAGAGTTTAGGAGGAGAGAAAGAACCCATTTGAAGGTAATCTTATCAGTTTCCAGCCGTCAGCAGATTTAGCCTTGTCTTAGTCCTTATAGTTTAGCCTTAAATTAATAGTAATAGACTTGTCTAACTTTATATAGATTCATGTTACAATCAAGTTAGATTTTAAACTATTATTAACTTGTACATATTGTCATCATCGTATCCTATCAATTTAATGAGCTTCACAATTAACTCGACATACATCTACTACATTGAGAGCATCAAAAAATTGGAACTGAGTTATCTGAAATTCCAAATATGGTTGTTAAACTTACCACTGAGGGTTGGCATGACTTGGTAACTAAAAATGTCAGTTCTTCATTTGTATTCAAACCTAGAAACTCAACCTGTGTGGATTGCAACTAAGAAATTGGGAATCAGTTCCATGAAAGTGCAAAAAGCACGCAAAAGGATTATTTTGATTGATACAGAAAAAATGTTGAAAATGAATCACAAGATTGCCAACAACTCAGATCATCAGATCGGTTAAGTATGATAATAGTAAGGTCAGGTGGAGCAAGAGTACTGAGGCACCAGAGTTCTTTGTCTCACCAACTCATGAAGATCATGAACAATCTTAAAAACCGCTTCTGGGCGTGCTAATTTCAGAGCATTTTGAGACATGGCTCTTAGCTCGTCAGATTTTGGACCAAACCACTGTGCAACAATGTTTGCTATCTCTTTTGGTGATTTTGAGAACTTTCCACATCCATTGTCCACAACATAAGGAACATTGCCAGCTTCCTGTCATGCAAACATATAGCTCAGTTTTAATCAACAATAGAACATGACTTTTAGGAGGTAAGCGAATAAGTCAATCGGAAAGGACACCTTTCACGATCAAAGAATAGAATTGATTGATACTCATTCTCTTCTTATATATCAACTTTCATATCTACATTCATCAGACGGGAAGGAACATGAAATCTATAAACTAAGCTTATCCAATTAGTTTGCAAGTGGATTATAGGTGACTGAATTATATTTTCAGAATATTCAAAGTAATAGACATTGGTTCTTCCAGAGAATTGAAGGGCATCCTGGCATGTCAGCGTGTAGATGGTGTAACTGCATAATGCCAATTGTAATAGAAAAATTGTTATCAAACAAAGAAATAATAAGCTACACTGACTGATTTGTTTGTTTGAGTTTATAATAAAGGTCCCAAACAATATAAGAGACATGAAGTGAAGTTTAACTATCTATTTAACTTCCTCTACTTTTTGTTATGTTCAAAAATTATTATCTGACTTAAAGCATAACTGAGACTAACTGCTGAAAGGACGGCTGAAAACTAGAACAGCCAAGACAAACTTTAAGCTCACATGGTCTCCATAAAATTGTGAGCAACTTTCCAACATCAGTTACTGAAGAACAAAAGATTACAGTCAAATAAAAAAGGAAATATTGAGCCTGGCCCTGGGAAAAATATAGTAAAGGAGGGTCAAATCATATCACCTACTAATAATAAGATGGAATTACAGGCTTTGTTTTATACCACAGAAAAATCATATCACTTTTTAGAATTTCTGTCTCCACCCATTCTTGTTGTAACAGAGTCAAGTTTCTTTTTCCAATGCGAAAGAAGACTAATCAGATCTCCTCCTATTTGATTTAATTTATACACCCTTCCTAATATCTCCATGTCTATGGGGGTTAAATCAACAATAGAGGTGCCCCTAGTCAAGTACCGCGACTTGGACTGGTGGCTCACACCACTATGTAAAACCCAAGTGGAACAGTGGATTGATGCGGTACAAAAACAAAGCCTGTAAGCCTGTAATTCGAAAAAATAGCACCCACCCCCTCTACAACACCATATGAGGGATGGCAAAGGAGAATAGAGAAGGCTAGGCAAGAGATCTGATCACCAAGAAGTTCTTTTTGGGTTTTCAAAAGTTTCCGTCACTTGCCACACCAGCAGCATACACTGCACCAACCTCTAGCCAGGATTGTGAAGTTATGAAGTTATGTGGGCCTACTGGCAAGGTTGTTCTTCTTGATTATACATAAATCTGAGTGAGATGTCAAGTCCAATCTACTATGATAAAAGAAAGCTGATGAAGAATCCTAGGGATGTCCATGTCTGTATGATGAAAGAGCTTTTAGCATTGTACTGCAGAAGATTTATTGAGAAAGCTTAGAAAGTTGCAATTAGTTAATATCACATGAAACATGACATAAAAACAACTACAAGGACCAATTTAATGAGTTTGTACTTTTGTGATGGTGTGTACTCTTACAAAAAGTACTGAAAGAGTACTGAAAGAGCAAACTCATAAAAGGTTGCAAAAACCAACTCATAAATGACTGAAAAGGCAGTGCACCTAAAGAATCCAAGCAAGCTTACCTGCCCTGCAATATAGTCATTTAGAATAATAGGGAGACCACGGATCATGGCTTCTGCGATAGTTCCTGGTCCTGCCTATAAAGGAAAAGACTGATTATATTTGTTGCTTAGAAGTTCATGTCAGAGATTTGAAACAGAGATAAGAAAATTTACTTTGGTTATTATGCAGTCACAAGCACCCATGCATTCTTCCATCTTAGTAACAAAACCTTTTACCTGGAAATTCAACAAGA